GTGGTAGGGAAGACCTCCTCTTTCAATCCACCCTGGGATAATCTAGACGTTTATCCAAAATTGCTGCATTTCTTACGATAGAGCAATATCAAACATGAAAATTAAGTAAATGTTTGTATGTTCGAAAGTTCACCGCTTTCAAGAAAAACGTAAACCACAAACTACAGCTAAATTCAACTCCGGCACCGATAAATAAATACTACCAGTGGAGTATTTATTTTGTATTTTTCTGCACATGTATTGTTTATTTATTAGTCGTTTATTCTTTTATACCTTGTACGAAGCAATCGATATGCAGCTCAATAAGCTAATTCAGTAATACAGCATCAATTATTAGTGTAGGTCAGTCACTGTAGAGTAGTTGTTACAATGATGTGACATGATACGTATTTACGGGTTTGAACCATACCAACGCTATAGGGAGTAGGGATGAAATCCTCAATTTCAAATGAAAAGACAATGCCCGAAATAATACACGCGAAATAGCATGGAACGTCGACCCCTTTCATGTAGTGTGACAAATTTTAAAGGAACCAGTTGCTGCACCCCTATTATTTGCAGCGGGTGCAATCCTTGTCTGAAACTGATTTTTAGCCGCGAGTATATTTGTATCGTTGGCTGCAAAAGGAAAATACTTCATAGGGTGCTGCTTACCGACAAACTTGCTTCACATGGGACAGAATTTTGAATTTTTACAAAAATCACTATTAGTGCAATGCAGGTTTGCATGCCGTAAATCCTTTGCGATTGCAAGAACTGTTTTCGATTAATGTGTTTCGATATTTTTGGAGACTTATTTAACTTTTTTTGATAATTTTACCTAGAACCACCTGAAAGAATGTAACGCACATTAACAATACCTCAACTGCGGTGTGGAAATTTACCTTAATAAAGTTACAATTATCCAAATGATGCTCGTTTACGCGCTAGTGTTTACGTCATTATCATAAGGTCGTCAGACCTACGACTGATTGGACACGCAATTCCACTCTTTCCTATCCTGAGCTAACCTTAGCATTTTCGTAAAACTAGAACATCCCACATCCTTAACTATTTGCGAACAGTAATCTAATCTAGGTCTACCTCTACTCCACTTAACTCCTGTTTTTGCCTCTAATATATCTCTGACTAGACCTTCATGCCTGAGAAGGTGTCCTACCAACCTATCTCGCCTATTTCTTATTGACTTCCATAGAGTCTCTGTTCTCCCATTCTTTCTAATACCTCTTCATTTCTAACCTTCTCTATCCACAGTTTCCTCATCATTAGCCTGTAACACCACTTTTCGAACGCTTCTAACCTTTTCTTTTCCTCCACGCCCTTCGTCCATATTTCGCACCCGTACAGCGTCGCGCTCCAAACATACACCTTTTTCGAATGTCTAAATTCTTTTTATTGGAAGTGACTCGATCCTTCTCTATCCTCTGCTTTATATCTCTCCTGCTCTTTCCATCCTGACTTATCCGACTCCCTAAATACCGAAAATCAGCCAATTCTAATTTTTCGTCTCCTATCTTTATATTCGCTCGTACATAACTTCAATTTTTTATTTCTTTTATGTTCGTACATTTGTAAAGGATAGTGCTGTCTGTAATGTACTTATTTAATTTATTTAGTCTAAACATCATATGTAAATCGGCAATTCTCCATCTCCATATGTAGCTGCAGAGAATTGTAAATTATTGTAATCTTCTTAAAAAAAATTGTCCTTAACCACGCTGTTGAACTCACTGTGCGATTTTTTATTGCATCTACTTTACACCCTCCAAAGCTCGACACTATTTCCCGTTACACCTTGTATACAAATATATATGTAATGATATATATCTATAATTACAATGTTGTAACGAACGATTTTATTGCATGTTTGCTTTTCTTTCCAACGTTTCCAACGAACGGTACCTTCATATCTTCTGGGACAATTTTTACAAGACATCTAAAAATTTTCTCCTCGGTGACAGAATTTACTCTTGCATGAAATGCGAGTGTCGTGAACTTCATCGTTGCAGTGTTTTTAATTCAAGTTCACGGCAAAGTAAGATTCATTCACGAAGTCAGCCTTGGGCGTTAAATTAAATTCCAACACTGAATAGCATGGAAAGAGAAAAACCTACGACAGTTTACTATGCGAAGGAACAACGGTTCTCGCTGTCGTACTGTCTTTCAATTTGTGATTTGTGTTCATATTGTTAGAAAAAAAATCAGCAATTGTATTATGGTCGCAACAAATGCTTATTATCTCGTCTATCAATTAGATCAGTCAAATGGTAAAGAAGAAAGGAGTAGATTAACATTTTAGGTAGTGTCCACGGGACAAGACAAATTGTATGAGACGAAATGTCAATTCTTTTATTCGTTTTATCAAATGTTATTTTTCGTAAAAATAAGTTTTCAAGCAGTTTTCAAAAAAAAAAAAAAATATATGGTTACCTAAGTGAAAAACAAAATAGTAAAGTTACAAAGCCAAACATATATGACAAAAAAAAGAAATGAATAGATATTCTACAGGAGAAAAAAATTAAAAACCATCGATTTCGATTTTAATGAACATACAAAATAATTCGAAGTGGTCTGTGTTCTGTCGAAACTGCCAGACGCGGATCGTGATTTCGATCTTTTTGGATCTCATCAGCGCGTCGCAGGCAGCTCCGACAGAACACAGACCAACCTTTACCTGCTGTCTTAACAGCGCGTTTTAGAAAATACTACAAATGGCGTGGTGAGCGCCATCTGTAGTACGATGCTACATTTGAGGATTACATATGCTCCAACAAGGTCCATTTAAAAATATGGATATCTACTTGCTGAAACAAATCTTTAATGAACATGTATACTACGAATTTAACCATAGCAATAATATACTTGTGACAGAACTGATGAGAATGTCTCGAGTCAATCTGACTATGTGTGGAAATGCTTTTTCTTTTCTTTTTTACCACTCTAACAAAGTCCGCGCTCAGTTTGTGTTTCCATAAATATTATCTTCTCCAACTGTAAAAGTCAATCTAGACAAATATCCCACAAGTCTTCGTCGTCGTCGAAATTATGTGTTTCCTTAGAAATTCTGCCATGGGCATTTTTAACGTTTATTTTGTACAGAATTTTCTTATAATTTCTCTCTCCATGTAGTTTTATAAAATACTTCTAAATTGTTATCTTTATTTCACCTGCATACTAAAAAAAGGAATTCCTGCCTACCCAACATGTTAGCCTGTATGTACCATGACCAATCGACTAACCTAAATATGAAATCTGTTTTGGTGTAAGCTTAAGTTTATGTTAGTTTTATGTATTTTGAGTGTGGGAGTGAAGATATCTTTAGTAACATAAAAGATACACGTGTAATTTGCAACATCAGCTTCTGTTAAGTGCTATCGGCCACTACGAAACAGTTAGTTAAGTGCAAATAATTATAGACCTTGTAACGCCAAAGTTAGTTCCATGTACTGAACGGTGTGTGCCTTTACCTCTAACGTCTTCATTAATGGTGTCTCGTGGCTGTGTTCATACGCTCATATTTGTTGTCATGCTACCTATGGGCATGTCATGTGTGTGATAATACCGACATTACGGATCTGTATATGAATTAGCAATTTTCATAATGTGGAATTTTGAAGAAACAAAATATAAAATACGTTTAGTGGCTTAAAAACCTAACAGGTTTGCTAGTAGTCGAGACATTGATATGGATCCTTGAAAGTACCTTAACGAATGTGTGTTAGGGATCCCAGGTATTTATTTTGAAATTAATTAGAAGTTGTTTTGTTAACTTATTATGCATTCGTGTTATTTAAAAAAAAACATACTTAATCAGTGGCGATTTTTTTACATACAAAAATATAAACCTATAAATAAAAATGAGGAAAAGTTGTGTGACTGCATTGTATAATTGAAACAAGGAAACGTTTTATATTTTAACTTATTTGTGAATCGGTTAGGAGTGATCTACCCAAATAGGCCATAAATTGATAAGTACTATCTATCTATTTCCCGCTTTTGTAATACTTTTTGAAGTGAAACTTCTTTACGCACGGTAGGGTAAGTTCGTTTCATGCGAGTTGCTATGTAACAGAATCATGCAACGGATGTCCCCCCTCTACTCGGCCACATAATCGAGTTAGTAGTGGGGATCGCTTGAGCCGTGAACGCGCTTCAATGCAACGTTCGTTACAGGCAACTCCGGCATGTATAGTGTAAAATTTAAATTCATAGTGTACAAATAATACGATTAAACCAATTCCTTAACCCCTATCCCGGTATGTTTGTGTGTTTTCAGAAGTTTCACTTCAGTAGCGTGTTGTATAATTAAGTTTTATTTTTTTCTCATACTTTTTTCCTCATTTGTCCTATGTTCTCATTTATTTATTTTTAATAAAATTCTCTTTCCTCTTTTAGTAGTTTCAGTTGTGTAAATTGGAACTTCAAACATCCTAACAATAATTTTTCACATGTGTGATCATTTTCCCTCAGATACTTTCGTTGCAAATTCATCGAATTACTACAAACCTATATCACCAAATAAAATGTTTACACATCAGTAATATGTATAATACTTTGCGTTGAAGACATTTATTGAGTGTATATGGATTTCAAATCAAAACTAACCAATTGGTACGTCTTTCTTTTCTTACGTGATAGGACTATCAAATATGTTATCCTATTGCTGAACGATTTACATGCAAAAAGGCACAAAAACAATTTTGCATGTAAACCTTTTTTGAAATGGATAAATGAAACCACTAGCACTCGTACTGAATTTTAATTGTTATTGAAAGGTCGTGATTAAATTTTAAAGTTTTATTCAACGGTAGAAACAGAAAAGGTGAAAGATCTAACTGATGGTTTTCAAGTAAAACCATTTAATTCAATACCTCTTTTAATAAGAGTATTGGTAAGCCAAGCGTAAGCCTATTTCAATTGTATGGATATAAGATCTTTTTTTTATATAAACAAATAAAATATTAATAAATATTGAAAAATGTAGTTTAGGTTTTACTTACTTCTTCGTAATCTAATCTTGCAGTGAGTGTAAACACTCCAGTTTGAGGATTCAAAGAGAAAATATCGTTTGCCCAGTCGCTAATAACTGTGTAGGTAACTTGAGCGTTAATTCCTAAATCGGGATCAGTAGCTTTGATCTGACCCACTTTAGATCCTCTTCCAGCATTCTCTGGAATGTCGAAAGAGTACGCGCTCTCGGAAAATACAGGTGTATTGTCGTTTGTATCGGTAACCTGTAAGCAGGAAGAAAAACATTGATTAATTCATATTCAACTTAAATTTTAAAAATATACTATTGCTTAAGGATGTTTGGGAGGTATGTTAAAATGCTA